TCTATTTTTGCTGAAACCTTGAGAAGTGGCCATTTATAAAGAAGAGTTATTTAGCTTGCAGAGTCGAGGACTCCAGGCTTCATCAGCAGCTATGGGGAATTACGCTTCAGAAAGTCAGTTTTAAGGTACATCTTTTCCACTGGCTCCATCTGAATGACCTCACCCACCTAGATTTCATGGCAGTGTTACCAATACCCAAGAGTCTGGGAACAAGAAAAGTTCAAGGTATCCACTCTGTTGCCTTCAGAGTAGATCATACATTTGTGAAATGAATATGGACTACATATTAATTATACTTGACTTAACTAGGTATAATGACATTTTGTTATATAAGAAAATGTCCATAATTTTTTAAGAGTTGCATACCCAGAAGTAAGTAGGAGTAAAATGACATGATGTCTGAGATCTGCAGGGCTGCTTAAAATACTTCAGCGACAGCAAGAAAAAAAGAAGACAGATGAGGCAAGTGCTATAAAATCTTTTTTTTTTTTAAACAGGGTCTCGCTATGTTATCAGGGGCTATTCACAGGCCTGATCATAGTGTACTGCGGCCTTGAACTCCTGGGCTCAAGCAATCCTTTTGCCTCAACCTCTCCTAAAGTGCTGGGATTAAAGGTGTGAGCCACATGCCTGGCCTAGTAAAATCTTAATAATTATTAACTTTATATATATGTGGAATGATTATTCTACTCATATATGTTAGAAGTTTCTCACAACAAAAATAGGTTTTAACTTCCCATTACCCATTTAAAAACCATATTATTTCTAGATTATATAAGTGTCACTATTTTAAAACTACTTGTATTATACATACAGTATTTTTGCTTTTTGCCATTTTGATTTCTGGAAAACATTTCCCCCTGGCCAGGTTTTTTAAAATAGACTTCCAATTTATTATCAACAATTTTACCAGGATTCAGTGGATCTAGTCCTATATATCAACACACATACTTAATAAATAAAATGCCAGCTTCCATTAAAAATAAATCAGCACAAAAATAATTTAGACAAGAAGAAACCCAAGACAACATTTAACCTCCAATTCTTTGCCATACCAGGATTTGTTAATGGCAACTCCTGCTTCCAACTTTTTGACATTACACCACCATGATTTTATTTTCAAAGAGGAGAGAAAGGCTCAATTTATTACTAAAAAGTTATAAAACAGAAAAGCAAAACTCCAGTCTCCCCTGAATACCTGTACCTCCCCTCAATCTATCAGCAGAACAGGGGCCTGAGAACAAGACCAAGCTGAACAGCTGTTATGTCTCTGATTATTTTCAGAGTATATTCATGATTAGCAGAAGCACTAGAAAGGCCAGGGCAGTCAAAACAACTAGTATCAAATGATATTAGATGCAGAAAATCAAACCCACTAAATTTGCTCACGCCTTTTTGTTCCCACACTGTTTACTGATAATCTGATCATATAACAAGGAAGGTGAGTGTCATAAATTCCTCTTTATATATAACTAAATTTAAACGTAAAACATATGGAAATTTACAAACCTCAAGTTTAAAGAAAAATGAGACAAGTGGCAAGTAAATATGAAGCCATCAGGAATTCAGAAGAGTCAGTCACTTTTGGCACACATCACAGGGTTAACAGAGTTCAGCATGATTTCCTACTCTTTGTAAGATATTTAATACTGTACGATGGTAACACGTATTCATAAACGAACAGCTTCTGGTATCACAAGGACTTAAATGAGTAATTATGTTCAGAAATTCTGTCTGCTAAGGATTGTGTTGTAATTCTTCAAAGCATCATGATCCACGAATGGCATGGAGGATAAGCCTTAGTTAGCTAAAATAATCCATGAGTCAGCATACAGATTACTTCTTAATCGCTCTGCATTTCTAGCATGTGAAAGATAAAAACCATAGTTTACTGTTTGATCAAATACTTCGAACAGGCCAGGTACGGTGGCTCACGCCTGTAATTTCAGCACTTTGGGAGACCAAGGAGTTCAAAACCAGCCTGACCCATATGGCATAACCCTGTCTCTACTCAAAATACAAAAATCAGTTGGGTGTGGTGGCAGATGCCTATAATCCCAGCTACTCAGGAGACTGAGGCATGAGAATCGCTTGAACCCAGGAGGCGGAGGTTGCAGTGAGAGGAGGTTGCACCACTGCACTCCAGCCTGGGTGACAGAGTAAGACTCAGTCTCAGACAAATAAACAAAACAAAACAAATACTTCAAACATATAGAAAATAGAAAAATAGCAAAACTCCATGAATTTACTATCCAGATTTAATAACTATCAATATTTATTAGCATAGAACATCAACATACAACATTATTTGAGATCTTTAAAGAAGCATTACAAACATAAACTACAGGCGTTTCTAGTTCTTTGATTCAGCCTTCTCACAAGTCTCTATCTTCCCCTTCCATTTTATTCAAAACATTCCCAAATTTCCCACATCCCAGTTCTCACCCCTTTGTCTCATAAACCTATCTTTCTCTATTATTGCAAGACAAATTTCTTAAAAGAGGGCCGGGCGCAGTGGCTCACGCCTATAATCCCAGCACTTTGGGAGGCCGAGGCGGGTGGATCACGAGGTCAAGAGATGGAGACCATCCTGGTCAACATGGTGAAACCCCGTCTCTACTAAAAATACAAAAAATTAGCTGGGCATGATGGTGCGTGCCTGTAATCCCAGCTACTGGGGAGGCTGAGGCAGGAGAATTGCTTGAACCCAGGAGGCGGAGGTTGCGGTGAGCCAAGATCGTGCCATTGTACTCCAGTCTGGGCAACAACAGCGAAACTCCGTCTCAAAAAAAAAAAAAAAAAATTCTTAAAAGAGTCTGTACTCTTCCCCTCCTGTTTATAATCTAACCTACTAAAACCTAGTTTCTGCCCACTGGACTCCTATTCAATTCCAAGCCCTCAGAAACCTAAAGCTACTTTTCAGACTCCGCATTACTTGGCCTGTTGGCAACTTCTTTTTTTTTTTTTTTTTGAGACAGGGTCTCTCTGTCACCCAGGCTGGAGGCCACCTGTTGGTAATTTCTGACTGAGGCTCACAGAGCTGGCTGTCACCTAGCCTGAAGCTCCTCAGAATTGCAAATTATCATATTTACATAATGGGGATCTATTGCTTTGACTGCAGCCCCAGAATTCTGGGGCAAAGGGCATCTGTAGAAGTTAGTGAGCTAGGACCTAACTAGAGGGAAGTGGAGGCAGAAAGAAGAACTTTCAGGTTGGGCGCAAGCAGCTCATATCTGTAATCCCAGCACTTTGGGAGGCTGAGGTGCAAGGATGGCTTGAGCACAGGAGTTTGAGACCAGCCTGGGTAATAGAGTGAGACCTTGTCTTTACAAAAAACACAAGTGCTTTCAACCACAACTTCAGCAAGAAGGGCAGAATTACTGACCAAAAATCACAGCTCTAAAAATTCTGGAAAATCCCAAAATCAAGAAAAAAAGCATATACTTTCTATTCTATTCACACAGACAAAAAGACTAAAGGAGCTATACCAAAATGTTAACAATGATTAAATCTATGGATAGTTTTTGTATTCTTCCTTTTAATATTTATCATCTACAATAAACATTCATTTTTTTAAACGTGTGTGTGTGTGTGTGTGTGTGGGTGTGTGCGCGCGCGCGTTTAAGCAAAAGGCCTGCAGGCCTGTCTTCCAGCGTAACAAAACGTATTGCTAGGGAGATACAGCTCTACAGAATACTTGCAGAAAACCTCCAGGGAATAAGTGGGTGTTGGCATCTTTAAAAAGGAAAGAAAAGCAGGCTGGGTGCATGGGAAAGGAGAGCTCTCACACCAGTCTGGCCTAATACAACCCAAGGAGTGCCTGGTGTTTCCCCAAGCCTTCCAGTCAGCCACCAGGCCCTTTTCATTCTCCCTTTAAGGTATCACAAAGGTCTCGCCACTGCTCTGTATCTCACACTACCTTGACGTCACCAGGCACCCTGATGGTATCTTCACTCCCAACTCACTGACTTCCAATCCCACGTCCACATGGCTACTAGTGCTGAAACATGGTGGGCATCTGAAAATATTTCAGGACTATTTAGAATACATTTCTAAACCCTGAAGTGTATACAGTCCTCGGCTCACCTTTACCAGCTGCACTGACCAGCCCAGATACTTGGCTCCAGTTAAACTCCATACCTGTAGTTCCCTGAACATCCCATGCTCTGGCTTTGTGCCTCTGTGCACACTCTTCCCTCTGCCTGGAATACGCTTCCTCGCCTTATCAACCTGGCAGACTCCTACTCATCCTTTGTGTCTGGACCTGTAAAGTACTCCTAGTCAGCTGGCTGCTCCCTCTTCTGTAGGCCTTATTCATTTTGTGCGTAGTATTTTACAGCACTTCTTACCCTGCTCTGGAATTACTGCTAAAATATCTTTCTACCCCACTAAACCATGAGATATTTAAGGCCAGAAACCACATATCCCCATGCATCTGGAATAATTAGACACAGCAGACGTTCAGTAAATAGTTGATGAATTAACAAATATGGGTTGGTGTTTGTTTTTACTACATATTTTTTATAGATATCTCAGAAATAAATTTTGGGATCTGGAAACAGGTACTAAGTGATACTGGTGCTCTCTGAATGAAACCAATTCAAAGTTCCAGACCTAACTGAAAAGAAAGTACTGATCAAGCCAAATACATACTGGGCAAATGTAAGATTTCTGTCATCTTAACAGCTAAGGACATCAGAACTGTATCAATTCGGAATTAGCAACCCTCTCAAATCATACTTTGAGGATTACACATTCAGAAAGGGTTTCTGTTTTTCCTTCCATAGTGGTGGTGGCAATGGACATGGGGTACTGCCGAACATCTGTTAAAATGCAGGGCTGATTAGAAGACGTATCTTTTCTTCACAGTCAAATCAGCAAGAATGGCTGATAACCAGGGAACATGGACAATTTAAGATCAATGGCAAGCAAACAGAATCTGCACCTACTTCTCATTTCCATATATTTTAACTTTCAACAGTTGCCTGCCTATTGCCTACCTGAGCTAAAGCAGGGATTGAATTTTGGCCAGTCTGAGTCTGCATATGAGCAGACTTGCTCTCTGTCAAAGAGGCTGTTACACTTCCATCATGCTGGGATTCAACTGTTTCCATGGTCATTTGTCTGAAAAGACAATAAAAAGGAAGACAAATTAAGCCCTATCTTAAGTATTTGGAAATACAAGTTGAATATCCCTAATCCAAAAATCCAAAATCTGAAATACTCCAAATTCTGAAACTTTCTGAGCATTTACATGATGCCACAAATGGAAAATTCTACATGTGACCTCATGTTATGGGTCAAAACTTTGTATCCTGCACAAAATCTTTAAAAATATTGTATAAAATTACCTTCATACTATGTATATAAGGTGCATGTGAAACATAAATGAATCTCATTTATAGACCTGGGTCTCATCCCCAAGGTACTTCACATGTATATGCAAATATTCCAAAACCCCAAAAAATCCAAATTCTGAAACACTTCTGGTCCCAAGCATTTCAGATAAGGGATACTCAACCTGTACTGTTTTTACCCAGCTTTCTAATAACCACTTCTGACATCCAATTGTACTGTTTTCTTCTTCTTCAAGAAACAGGTTCAATAGTAGAGTCCTGACTCTCTAAACTTATCTTTTCTCCTCACTGTGTAGGAATATTACCAAGGGAACACTGCAAAATGTCTTGTGAGAACTAGCTTATTTTAAAACTTAATAAAACTTGTAATAATAAAGTCTTCCTGATAATTACCTTAAGCTTGCTATTTAACATGAATGACTGGTAAAATTAGGTTTTCTATTTTACATGAAAAGTATAAATATTCTATGATTCTTAAGGCCTAATAAACCTGCTTTATATTATGAAGTAGTGTGAAAGAACTTGCCCAGTCTAAATTAAATGTATAATATAAAAATGTGTCTTTCTTTGTTAGCCCTAAGTCGTTTCTGATGTTTATCAGAAAGCCCCAATTATTGAAAGAAGGGGATCTAATTTTTCCAGGAAAAGCTTCTGATGTGATTTGAAGTTTGTGTACAAATTCAATTTAAGCTCATGATTTCTATATGGACTCTTTCTAGAAGGCAAACTATAATAAATTTTATCCTGTTAAAGAGAAAATATAAAATATAAATAAAATTAACAAAATTTAAATTTAAAAACTTACTTATAGGAACCACTCCGTTACACATCTTCTCAGCTGTCAATAATACAATGTGTTTTTTCACCTTAGTCTAACTATATATCCAAAAAGTATACAGTCCACTTAGATCTTTGAATTAAAACATCCAAATTGTTCTTACAGATTTAATTAGTTACCAGATCCTACAGAGCTTCATCTACTGTTATTGACTTCATACTGCCTTTTGCATTCGAGTAGCCATTACCTGAATCCAGTCCTTCCATGCTCAAGCCATCTGCTACCGTCTCTACCACAGGTATTTTAATACTTATAACTGACCAGGACGATTTAGAGCAATCATATCAAAATACAAACATAGAGCCTACCATAGAAAAATGTCTTTCCCTTAGTATTGCCTACTAATCCTTTATCTCTTTTCTTATAACTTCCCAGAGCGGCCTCTCCAAGTGTGGGTCACCATCACACATAAAGTGTTAATTCCTACTGTTTTACTTTTGGTTATGAGAGGAGTTTCCAAAAAAAATACCTCAGGACATTAATTCTGCAGGTTCTAAAAAGGCCCTATCTGGGGAAAAAGGATAGGGAAAATGCTTAGTCAAAACGTTTTAAATATCCAAGATTAAAAGGGTTTCTTTCCTGAAGAACATCTCAGAAGCTTCAATCTGCTAGTGCGTCTTGAGAAGGGTGAAGGTGCAGATCCAACAGACAGCTTCTGAAAGTATCTGACCACCAAACAAACCCTTTCCCACAAAGCATGCCCCAGCAGGAATATTTTGGAAACCACCTGGGAAATGTTGTCTTGCTATTTTTTATACCTTTGAAAGATAAACTTCTTAAGGTTCTGCAACAACTTGAGTCTCAACTCAAAAATTACATGCCAAAAGGCCTTCCCGGGTAAACTCTATTTCATTCTGGAAACACTCATTTAGCATCATCTACATGGTAAGCTCTAAAAATACAAAGTGGATTAGTCATGGCCCTTGCCCTGAAGGAATCCATTAACTAAATGGTTGTGGGTTTCTCAAACTATGGTCCTTGGACAACCCACATCAGAATTAAGGAAAAGTATTTGTTGTAAAAAATGCAGAAGATTAGGCTCAACCCCAAACATACTGAATCAAACTTTCTTGAGGATTTAACTTCTTATAGCCAAACAATTCCAATGTGTACCAAAATTTGAGAAACACAGCTTATTGGAAGGTCAGTAACGAACACATGTAAAGCAAATTCTTTTTTTTTTTTTTTTTTTTTTTGAGGCAGAGTCTTGCTTTGTCACTTAGGCTAGAGTGCAGCGGCATGATCATGGCTCACAGCAACCTCTGCCTCCCAGGTTCCAGAGGTTCTCTGGCCTCAGCCTCCCAAGTAGCTGGGATTACAGGTGTGCGCCACCATGCTTGGCTAATTTTTGGATTTTTAACAAAAACATGTGGTTTCACCATGTTGGCCAAGCTGGTCTCGAACTCCTGACCTCAGGTGATCTGCCTGTCTTGGCCTCTCAAAGTGCTGGGATTACTAGGCGTGACCACCTCGACTGGCCGTAATTTCTTAAATCATGTGACATATGTGATGCATGAAATGCTCTGGAAAACATAAGAGAATGATTAAGTCTGCCAGAGGATATGGTCATATGAGTTGTATATTGAAGGTTGAGTAGGATTTCACCAGGTAGAAAGGACAGGTCGACTATGAGAGGAAAGAAAGTACAGAGCATGTCTGGGAAGCAGAATGACTGGAGTAGAAAATTTGGGTGAGGGATAGGGGGAGCCTAATTAGATTTAGTGAGGAAGAGACAGAGTAGGACCGGTACAAATAGCCTGGAAGGGTTGCATGGAATTATATTAGGATAATAGCCCTTTTTTTTTTTTTTTGAGAGGGAGTCTTGCTCCCCTCCCGGGCTGGAGTGCAGTGCGATCTAGAGTCACTGCAACCTCCGCCTCTCGTGTTCAAATGATTCTCCTGCCTCAGCCTCTCAAGTAGCTGGGATTACAGGCACACACCAACACACTGGGCTAATTTTTTATATTTTTAGTAGATATGGGGTTTTACCATGTTGGCCAGGCTGGTCTCCAACTCCTGGCCTCAAGTGATCGGCTCACTTCAGCCTCCCAAAGTGCTAGGATTACAGGCATGAGCCACCACATCTAGCCTGTGAGTTACAACTCACAGGCATGGTTATAAATATCAGTTGTAAATAACAACTATCCTGAGTCATCAAAAAAAGGCTAATTATGTTCAGTATACTTTAAGGACAGAGGGGTACACCCTATAGAATCCAAGAAGTCTCCCATCAAAAAAAAAAAAAAAAAAAAGTTTTAATGATTAAGAAGATAAACTGGGGCTGGGCGCAGTGTCTCACACCTGTAATCCCAGCACTCTGGGAGGCCAAAGTGGGTGGATCACAAGGTCAGGAGATGGAGACCATCCTGGCTAACATGGTGAAACCCTGTCTCTACTAGAAATACAAAAAATTAGCCAGGTGTGGTGGTGTGCACCTATAGTTCCAGCTTCTCAGGAGGCTGAAGTAGGAGAATCGCTTGAACCCAGGAGGCGGAGGTTGCAGTGGGCCATGATTGCGCCACTGCACTCCAGCCTGGGCGACAGAGAGAGACTCCAACTCAAAAAAAAAAAAAAAACTATTCAGGACTCTATTTTTGAGATATGATAAAAGACTTTATAAGCTATCAAACAGATTTCAAATGTTTTATACAAGAAAGTGTCTTAATATATATCATCTCATGCAATCATCTTAATTGGCCCTTTTCTCTGGGGGCATTTTCCAGAGAGTTGAGTCCTTTGCCCTTTTCCTTTTGTCAATACCACAGAATTTTTCAATACTATGAATACTATGGTATCTTCAATCCTATATGCAGATGGCTCCCAAATCTGTATTTACGCACACCTCCCTCCTACTGAGCATCTCACCCTGGGGTTTTCATGGACCCCTGTCCCTTCTTTCCCTTTCATTTCTTCTTTTAGTCAAGAGTATCATCATCCAGTCAGGATCCAAAGCTGGATTCGTGTGTCTATAAGTCAGAACCAGATCAACCACAAAAAGCAACCCTACAAAGCTAAACGTCAGTGAGGATGCCATGAGGCCTTGAGCCTTGAAAGAAAGGCAGAGATGGAAGGTCAGCAGCCACCCCGACTCCTCCTCCTTGCCAGACTTTAGCACTGGGCACTGTCCACTGTAACCTCCCATGGCCTCACTGGACCAAGCAGTTGAACTGCTGTTCCACACAGTTGCTACCATCCACTCTGAAGACCATAAATCACAGACAATGGGCCTCTTCCTACGCCACAACTGCACTGCAATGCCCCTACACCCATGCCAGAATCACACTTATATCACTGTCCAAGATAGAAGCTCCTTCCATATTTCATCTTCACTCTCATAACTAGTGCTTCCTTTACCTCCATAGTACAACCCTTCACTCCTGTCCTCCTTCCAAACACCAGCAATGTGCCATCTGGAACTCCCAAAGCCTCACTACTGTCCTCTCAAGAAGGTACTGCTCATCTTCCCACACCCAATCCAGGTCAGGATACTGACTGGCCACCTGCTTCATCCCCCACTGTCTTCCCACCTGTTCCTCCTTTACTCCCTCATAAAAACCCTTGTTCCACTGAGGCTCAAGGTCATCAGTTGTACCAACCTAAACCCATCCATAAGATAATCATCATCTACTCACCACCAGGATGTAAACTGAAGACTCTGGCTCCTGATGTAAAAGCCTTCCTCTTCACCCTTCTATGTTCAACACTCAAAAAGAAGACCCATCCCTCACCCAGACGCCTCAGATCAATGACTTATTTTATGTCACTTCAGCCATCTACTTGAGTGGCTGGCCACACACTGGACCTTGCCAATGTGCAACTGGTCCAGCTCTGAAATAATTAATTCCAACATTCCCGTCTGCCTCCAACATCCTGTTCTCCCAGCCTACCCTTTCCCTTGACCACTCCGATCACACTTCTTATTCAAACAC